TATGAGAGAATGATGTGGAATATGTCTTGCATTAAGCAAAGTAAATAGGCTATCGCGTCGCTTCATAAAATTGAGGTTAAACCGCTTAGGTCACATGGATTACTTTAATGATGTCTTTACTATCTTTCTGGGGCTTGAAAGTGGTACAGTAATTGCATAGGCTGTCAATGGAGGGACAGAAAGCTTTCAGATTTCATTCAAAAGATCTTCGTTTGTGTTCCGGAGATGAACGAATGTCTTACGGGTTTGGAATGACATGAAGCTGAGTAATTAATGACAGAATTTTCTTTTTTGGGTGAATTACACCTTGAAAGCAACCAAGGTTAAGGCTATTCCTTTAGAAATTTTCTCCATATCTCTTTATTGCAGTTCTTATGGGTCACACATAGGATACTTGCATTGATCTATGGAACAATGGGGACATGTTCGAGCAGGTCACGACTGCTTCGTTTGTTCATGCATTTACAGTGAAAAGATAATCATTACACCTTTAGCAAAATGAAACAATTAGAGCTGACTAAGGCCACGTCCACACGAAGCCGGTGCGTTCCCTATCCGATATTTTTTTTCCCTCGTTCTAAAAATAAATTCCGTAAACACGGCGCCGTCTCCAAAAATATCTGCGTACACACGAAACCACTGAAACGAGTCAAAACGATGTAGTATACATCCCAGACCAGTATGTGGCACTGTAATTCTGCCATAGAGATACACTAAAAATGCGAGAAAAAGACTTAGAGCATGCGCATAAACCTTGCGCGCTGTAGGCTACTATACATATACAGTAAAAAAAAAAATACTATACAAATTAGGCACAGTAGCTTCTTCTTTTCTTTTTTACCAAGAACTTTATTGAACAACCATAAATGGCCTGGTACAAAATAGGGAGTCACGATATTCGATTTGTTGCTGTTACGTGACTAAGCAGTGTCTGACTAGTCGACACGTGGGGTGATGACATCATCGTTTCACAAAATATACGGATTGGCCGTACACACGAAAACGCAAGGGTGTCGTTTTCAGATTTATCCACTCTGGGACCCGGTTTCAAAAAATAGCGGTTTCAGTCTCCCAAAACGCCGGATCCGTGTGGACGAAACGCCAATACGATAAAAAATTTATACGTATACAGCGAAACGCGTCTTCGTGTGGACGGGCCCTAATATGCAATGTTAAATGATTACTGGGAAGAAAACAAACTGAGAAAAAGAAAGACCCCAGTCTACTGCAGAATTAGTGTTTATTTGCCTGTTCCTCTTTTCAGCTGTAATATTGACTCTGACAACGATTAAAGTCTTATTCTGTCTGTATTAAACAAAGATCCTTTTAGAGTGAATCAGACAAATAGCAAAAACAATAAATGCTCAGTATGGGTCTTGGAAAGCACATCTTCCCCTTCTTTTTATTATTATTATTTTTTTCCATTGTGGTTATTGTCACACCATATGGTCTAAAGTTCAAGGCTGCAAAGACTTTAGTCGACTTGCAACACCTTTTCTGCATACAAAGCAGCAGATACATTCGGCCATAAAACCATATTACTCCTAGACATTGAATAGACTGAGAAAAAACTTAACTGAAGTTAGACTACTTTTTTTTCTTTCAGAGGCACTAAAGTGGGGGAGTGAGGGTGAAAAAAACCTATTGGACCCTGAAACTGTTGTTCTGCTTTCTGATTGGCTGACTCCTGTTGCTAGGCTTGTCTTTTGTGTTTTTTTCAGTCTTTCTTCCCCCTGTTCTCTGATAGGTCAGGATTGAACTGGTTCAGACGAGGGCTGTGTCAGGCAACTTTTCTGCCACTTGTTGAACATCCGAAAGCTTGTGGTTTTAGTGTGGCTGCTCGTTCAGCACAAGAAAAACAACAGCGCAGAGACACACATTCACACAGAGAAGCACTTCTACAAACACACCCTGTTACTCAGAAAGCATTCGTACATAATGAAAAAATTTTCACCAGCGGAAAGTCACGTGCAGAGACAGAGTTATTGGAAGATGATGGCTGTTTTTCTCACAGCTTTAAGAAATCACTTTTTAAATCTAACATTCACACAGTCTTAAATGAACATGGCTTAAACCTGAACTTTCACACTTGAGGAAATACTAAAGAGATTTCCACAGCTGTTTTATCTGATAAAAAAATAATACGAAAACGTTTTTTTTATGAAGATAATCCATAAAAGTGAAAAAAAAAGCTTGCAGCTGTTGAATGATTTCCTTGATTGACATGTTTTACTGGTGCAAAAAATAAAAAAAAATTTTTTTTGATAAGTTTGTGTATTCTTCAAAGTAGATATGATGCATATGTCCAGACATGTTCCTCTTGTGCTATGCTTAAACGACTCCAATAATACAACAGAAAAATGACTTAAAATAAATAAAAATTGGATTTAAGTTTCTGTCAGCTATTTTGAAAGCTTTTATTTGTAGCTGTTTGTATTTTGCATGTGATTGGAGAACTACTAAACCCTTTTTGCAGTCAATTTCCACAGTAACATTAGTGCTCTGGTCCAACTAAGCAGTCAAGCCCAGTGTTATGATACGATGTGGGTACAGTAAAGCCTGAAGTTTGTTCTCATATAAGAGTTTTGGCTCTTTTTAATAAAGAGAGGAAAAGATGCCCTGGGGAGGTGGGCGCAAGGCAAACGCTGACCATTCTCTTCTGTAGGTTTGCTGAGCCATAGGGCTCAGTGGGCCTGGTTAACCACCCCCTATCACCAGAGAGAGTGCTGACTCCTGCTCTGGTCTGTTTACACCCCCCGATGTAGGACGGTCCCTTCAGACACAATGAACATGCTGAATAGCTACTCTTCATCTCGTGAGCGATGCCAAATCCAAACGCTTTGACAGTCTTCTGCTCGTGCACAGGACTTTAATTCATGTTCATTGGACTTTATTACTCCACAATATATTATACAATCATGCATCTCAGCATATAGAGTGGAAAAAAAGACATTATGTTGTCAAGTTGTGAATCATTTAATATGTTGGTAAGATTGCAATTGAAACTCATTGTGAACAAAATTCTGAAGTGCACTGACCAACTACCAATTTAGTTTAACCAGTTAAAAACCAAGGCAGCTGTAGAAGTGTGCCTTGGTTTTCACCCTCCTCCCCCACCCCCTCGCTCCACGAAAATAATCAATCTCTAAGCCAAAAGCGTCACTTTATATATCAGGTGTCTTGACTTGTCCCCTGTGGGGAATATTAAGCCGAGGGCTGGAATTGATCTTGGCTTGTTTTTCACTGTAGTCCATGCCGTCATCCTAATTCAGGTTTCAGGGCTTGTTTACTGCAGTTCCCATTTGCTCAAGGAAAAAAATCCCCTCCCACTTGCTTGGACTACTTGGGCAATTGGAACTGCAGGAGGTAACAATGTCATATAGACTACTAGACAAATCAAGATTATGTAAATAGGTTTATTGGAAGACAAAGTTAAAAGTCTGTTAAGTATTAACCAATGTTAGAAAGCTTTTTCCAGTCAAGCTTCCTATCCATGTTGGATAGCAACAATTCATAAACAGTTTGCATATTAATCAATAAAATAAATAAATGTTTTAAATGTCCCAAACAAACGAAATTATGTCATCATTTACTTTCACTCACTTTGTTCCAAAGCTGCACACTTTCTTCAGTGAAACACGAAAGAAAATAGGCAGAATTTGAAGAGGACTCTCAAGTTCATTGCATTCCCCCCCACCCCCCCCCCCCCCCCCCTCCCCCACAGTAAATGGCTGTCGTTCTGTCTAAAACGTAACATTTTCACAACAGAAACAGGCAAATCGTTTTTTAGCTTCATGAGTGTGTATAAATGATGACAGAATTTTCTTTTTTGCGTTTCGAGTCCACTCTAGGCGCAAGTCGCTCGTTTAACCCCGCCCATATGTCACTGATTGGACAACGTAGGTTGTTTTCGCAACGCGATTGGCTCTTGGGCGCGTCAGTTATGTTTACAGCCTGTTATTTACCACAAGAGGGCTAGTAAAGAGTGGGTATTCTGCTCCGGAGCTTCAACAGCTGATATGAACGGGTAGTGTAACCCAATGCTTCAAGGAACAACGGGAGCTAAAGCAAATGCAAGATAGCCGCTCTAATTTTTTAATTAGAAGCAGAAAAGAGCAATATGAGGCACGCATCGGCATCTAATGAAACTATTGAAAACTCTTCTCTCACCATGACAGACGTGTTTAAAATTTGCACACAGTGCGAGCGGCTTAGTAAAAAGGTAAGAAAGCGGATAAGAGTTTGACATCGAGTTTAACTAATGAAATATGTATTTGTCGTTAGCCTGCTTCGTTCGTGTACTTTTGTCATTGATTTTTAATATGTCCGTTCGTCTGGTTCATCTGCTGCTGCAGTGCAGTCAGTTCTTTGTACTCGCACCATGAACACTGCTAGCTTGTTTTTCTCAGCCTGTTGTCATCGGATCAATAGACATTCGTCTTTGATCAATGACTGACAATATGAAGTCGGTGTCACATTGTATATATGCTGCTGCTGTTGTTGTTTATTTTAATCAACGCACAAAAATAATATATGCAAGATTGCCATTGTGTAGAACTGCTGTGTGCTCCTGCAACGGGACATATTGCATTGTGTAATAATACATTTAAGCTTTTAATATTACTTTTTTACACCATTGCTTGCATATTCCTGAGTCATATGTTATGCAGTTATACATGTCAATGGTGTATTGCTAACTCGGACAACCTTTTTGTTCCTAGTGAATCAATCTAGGTTGTTTTGAATTCTCTTTGTGCCTTTGACAGCTTCTATAGATGAATGATGTTCAAGGTCTGACTGTTGCTACCTACCTACTGATTGCATTGTGTTGTCTATTATAAAGAGCTAATTTTAAAGCCAATGCCAGAACAAATTCTAGAACCAACCGTTGATATTTGAGCCGAGGAAGGATGTTGCGTCTGATTCTTTGATATAATTGTAGTTTCATGCCAAGTGTATGTCGATCAGGTAATCATGTTATTGGTTTTGATCTTTTTTAGGATGTTGGAGTGCGAATCCCCAGACCGATGGGAAATGGACCAAGTAGATTCATACCAGAGAAAGAGGTTAGTGTTATCATCTACCCTGCTGACTGTAAAGTTGGCATGAATCTCACTCTAATCATTTTAATCAACAAATTGGACTTCTGTTTTGCATTAACAGCATTTATTATCATCAAAGTCTAGTGAAGGTATTTTACCAGCAGCACTGAATTCCCCAGGTTTACCTCATCTTTATTTCCCTGTTGTCCCAGATACTTCAAGTCAGTAAATTGGATGAAAGAACACAGTCGATTTTTGAAGACGCCTTTGCAGTGCTCGGTCGCCTTGACAACATCTCCTTGGTGATAGGGTTCCATCCTCAGTATCTGGAGAGCTTTCTTAAGACACAGCATTACCTGCTTCAGATTGACGGCCCCTTGTCTCTGCACTGCAGACATTATATAGGGATAATGGTGAGATGACAGACTATTATTTTGTATGCAATTCCAAAAAACCACAGTGGCAGATTCTTCTAAAAGCATGTTTGTGTTCAACAGGCTGCCGCCAGGCACCAATGCACATATCTGGTCAACCTGCACGTCAATGACTTCCTGCAGGTTGGAGGTGATCCCAAGTGGTTGAATGGCCTGGGAGAAGCTCCACAGAAGCTGCAGGCTCTCGGGGAGCTCAATAAGATCCTGGCCCACCGCCCCTGGCTGCTCACCAAAGAACACATCGAGGTATGACTTCAACGTCACAGTCACTCATTGACACTCGCCCAGAGCTGTTATACAACTGTAATGACCGCAGAGAAGTTTTATAATGCTCTGAAGTATTAGGTCAGGTTGGTATCAGTAGATCTGAAGTTAATTAGCTTTAACAGAGTTTCCATAATGATTTATGTGGGCACAAATGTAATAATTTATTTTAAAATACATACATACAGTAATTTGAATGCACCTCTTCTATGATGAGCATGTTAATTTATTATATGTTAATTTATTTAAAGCATATTGATTAAATAAATTAAAAGAAAGTTAATTTCTGAATAAATATTCATTTTTATATTTTTTGTGGTGCATAATGTCAAAAATGTCAGGTTGATTCAACTGTCCTAATGTCATAATTAAAAGAATGAAATTCTTAAAAAGGAAGCCTTATTAAATAGTTAGATGTAATATTTTGGTCACACTTTAGATTAGGGTACAATTCTCACTATTAACTAACTATTATCTACGACTTTTGCTTATTAATAGTTAGTAAGGTAGTTTTTAAGTTTATGTATTGGGTAGGATTAGGAGTGTAGAATATGGTCATGCAGAATAAGGCATTAATATGTGCTTTATTAGTACTAATAGTCAAAATCCTAATAATATTCATGCTAAATAAGCAACTAGTTAATAGTGAGAATTGGACCCTAAACTAAAATGTTACCAATATTTTATTATTGTTTTTAACAATATTGCTTCACTGCTGTATATTTTATTATCATTAGTATTTGTCATATCATGTGATTCCCCAAAGAATTAGGATATTTATGAATGAATAATTCATGATATTTGTAAAGAAAAGCCTTTACCTTAAAAATGTATGTATATATATATTTTTTTACATTTTCTAAAACAGTAAATAAGACACATGTATTAAAGGTGTAAGGACATTTTTATTCCTTTTACTTGATGGTTACACAACATGACATGAGTCATTAAATTGAAACTTGAAAATGAAACACATTTCGAAACCAATATCAAGAATATTGATATTGGTTCGAAACCTCATATCAAGAGTAAATTTCTAGGAACCTAGCACGTTTTAACCTAGATTTTTAAACGATTTTTACTTTTCTTTGTCATAGACACTCTTATAACATTGACCCTTATAAATGTTGCTGTTTTTTAAATAACAGCATCTACTGAAGGCAGAGGAGCACAGCTGGTCCCTGGCTGAGCTGATCCACGTTGTGGTGCTACTCACACACTATCACGCTCTGGCTTCCTTTACCTTTGGTTGCGGCATCACACCTGACATCCAAACAGATGGAGGACATACATTCAGGCCGCCCTCGCTCAGCGGTTACTGCGCTTGTGACATTGCCAATGGCAACAGCGCCCTGGAGGAGATGTTTGGGAACCAGCAGGTGAGACTGATGGAAATTAATTCAAAGAAATTGATTTACAAAGCACTTTATGATATGTGCTAGTCTTCCGTCCATTTGTTCTGAAAAGGGATCTGTGAAATACATGGAGTGCGAGGTTCAAATTCCTGACCATACAGTGTACATAAAATGTGTAATGACCTAGATTCCTGTATGTGTGTGTTTAGGTGTCGGAGTCGTCTGGCGAGGTGGAAGTGCTGATGGAGAGGATGAAGCAGCTCCAGGAATGCCGTGACGAAGAGGAAGCCAGTCAGGAGGAAATGGCCACTCGTTTTGAGAGGGAAAAGACAGAGAGCATGCTGGTAGTCACCTCCGGTAAGCGGATTTATGATTATTATGTTAGAATGCAACGACAGGATGACTTGTATTAAATCACCATGTTCGATCAACAGAGGATGAGGAGTGTGTACCATCCAGGGATGTTTCACGACACTTCGAAGACCCTAGTTACGGCTACAAAGACTTCTCCAGGAGAGGAGAACATGTACCCACCCTCAGAGTGCAGGTGAGAATGAAGTGAAGTTGTCTTGCTTGTTGGCTTTGGTAGTCAAAGGAAATGGAGAATTAAAATAACAGCGGTATGTTTTCTGCCTTCGACAGGACTACAGTTGGGAAGACCATGGCTTTTCCCTTGTGAATCGGCTGTATCCGGATTTTGGACAGCTTCTTGATGAAAAGTTCCAGATCGCATTCAATTTAACATACAATACAATGGCGACACACCAGGGTGTGGACACTTCGATGCTCCGTAGAGCCATCTGGAACTACATCCACTGCATGTTCGGGATTCGGTCAGTCTCTCCACTGCTCACTGTGTCACAAATATGTAGCAACATTGAATATGTTAATTTGTGCTGTAAAAATTAGTTTATTGTTTGCCATTCTATTTATGTAATGTCAATAACACGCGTGTGTGTGTATATTTATATATATATATATGTGTGTGTGTGTTGACAAAAATAGACTGACACAAAAACAAATTTTATATTAATAAATTGTTTATATATATATATATATATATATATATATATATATATTAGTGCTGTCAAATTGATTAATCACATCTAACACATCTAACATAATAGTTTGTTTATATGTGAATATATATTTATATATACACACATACACATACATATACGTATATATATATATATATATATATGCATGTATACATATATGTGTGTGTGTGTGTGTACACATATATATAATATATATACAGTAGTCAACATTTGAAGTGGATCAAAAAAGTTCATCAAAGTTGTCCTAAGACAAGAACGGGTATTGTTCAAAACTCATGTATAACTTTGATCCACTTCAAATGTTGATTACTGTACATATATTAATATAATAATGTATATACACACATATATATCCACAAACTTTTATGTTAGATGCAATTAATCGATTTGACTGCACTAATATATATATATATATATATATTGTATTTAGATTTTTATTATTATTATTATTTAGTTTTTTCTCTCTGATTGATTATTAAGTCAAAGTGCTGAGGTACCTTTCCCTCTGTCTATTTCCTGTCAGGTACGATGATTATGATTATGGAGAAATTAACCAATTGTTAGACCGCAGTTTTAAAGTCTACATCAAAACCATGGTGTGCAGTCCAGAGAAGATCACCAAGAGGATGTACGAGAGCTTCTGGAGGCAGTTTCAGCACTCTGAGAAAGTACGTAGCACTTCAATAACACAATAATGAACAGACATGGATTGTTTTAAGGTTAAATCTATTTAGTTAATAAGGATTCTTTTATTCTGTCTTTCAGGTTCACGTTAATTTGCTTCTTATGGAAGCGCGCATGCAGGCAGAACTGCTCTACGCTCTGAGAGCTATCACTCGCTACATGACATGAAGTGCTGTTCTTGTCTACCTTTTTTAATTTTTTTACTGTTGTTGATGTTGCTACAGTGGGACACTTCAATAAATGTAAAAACGACAAAAAAAAATGGAAAAAGAAAACTGAGGAAGAAGAAGAACGCTTGAGCAGCGGTGGAAGACAATGAGGAGATTGTTGTCAACTGAACCCACTTGCTGAATAACTTGTGTGGCTGCTCAGCCTGCAGTGCCAAAACTGGCCACTGGGGGCCGTCTGAGCAAACTCAATCCCTCAAGTGTGCAAGAGGACAAGCTGAGACTGCGAGCTTCTGGAGGCCAGACCTCCTTTAGTATTTCAAATGCATCTGCGATAAGATGCCATATAATCATATCTTCTTTTTGTGAGATGAGATTTAAAAAAAACACACACACACACACACCCACACACGAATAGCAACTCCAGCACCGGTGCAGATAGACTGCACAAACATCCCTATCTTCTAGTGTTTTTTCCATATCGTTTTATATTGTTTTTATTTTATTTTTCCAGCAGTGGCTAGAGATAGAAACATTACTGATTTTGCATAAACGCGTGCCTAGTCATGCGCAGCACTGGCAGCAGATGCTGAGGTGCCGTCTGTTCATGCTGCTTTTCTCAACTGAGAGGCCTCAAAGACACCCAAACCATCACCCATTTGTATAAGCTAAACCAGGAACGATTGTGTTATTGTGAGTGTGAGAGCGCAATTCAAAATGAATAGTGGCCTGAGCCCTTGTTAGAGTTTACTGTAAGACACCACTTTGTCTCTTGCGTGACATAGTCAATGTGTGAATGGGGGGGGTAAAAAATCCATTGACTCTTTTTAGGTTTTCATGCATTAAAAATATCAAAGCACTTTTTAAACAAGACAAATTTTAAGCTTCAGCTGTTATGTAGCTATTTTGTTTCAATGACTCTTTTCTATCTTTTTTTATATGTGTTGGTGACTTTCAAAGTGAAAAGGTCTTCCTTTTGTAACATGCTTCCTGTTGTCATGCCTTATCTGTCTTCCTTTTAATGCACGGTCATCTTTTTGTTGTTTTTAATTTTGAGGTTTATTATAACTAAATACCTCCTGTTGTGTATCCTTAAATAACTAAGTGCTGTCTGGTGAGCAAAACTTTGTCTTAAGTGGCTGCCTGTCGTGGACTACAATCTGTACAGACCTAGACGCTAAGAACCAGGCAACCCGCACGACTTCACGGTTGTGGGGTTAAACTATGCTTGTTCTCATTCTTAGAACTTTAATCAGTGTAACTAAGCAGTTTTGTTTCGAGTGTGTGTGTGTGCGCAAGCGGGGTGGATTCTCTGCTGTCTTTTTTTGTTTACTAAAACCAGTTAAGTACTGCATTCTGATGATGGCAGGACTAGAGGGATGGTACTTTTTCCATTGGAAACGAGGAGGTTTTAAGTCAGACTTGAGAGACTTATGTCAGTTACTGACACTTTTATAAGAAAATATTTGATTAAAAAAAAATAAAACATGGTATTTCACTGGTTGTATCACTTGTAATTTAATCAAAAGTTTCTTTCTTCCCAGAAAGTCGCATTACGATGATACATTACACCAAGCAAACATTGTTATTCAGTATTAATTGCAACAAAAAAGATTTGAGCAGTCTAAACACCTCATACCACAAGAACTGAAGGTCTTCTTATTCTTATGTTTGTGCTTATTAAGAATAACACACTTTAAATTATCAATGATGTAGCTTTTAGGTCACATTATCAATGTTTTCATGTCCATAAACATCCTTGTAGCACCACAGTACATCATCACAGAGACACTAAGGCCTATAGAAAAACATCTCCTGCTGTGCTCTAATGATTTAAACACACAATGTTGAAGGCGGCAATTCGTCTTCTCACAGCGAGGATTACAGGAAGTAACTGTTGACCTGAGAACAATCCCTGTTTGCATAAATAATGAAATGTCCCCTTATGTTGCTGGCAATTTCCCTGTTGTATCTGTGGCTGTGAGGCTGATGGCCATTCAGTGCCAGTAAAGGATCGTTATATGGAAATCACCATATGGTAGTTGTTGCTCATTTTCAAACAATAATGTGAGAAGTCTTGAAAATGATAAAATATCCTGCTCTTTTCAAAAAAAAAAAAAAAAAATCCCTTAGAGATTGTGCAGGAGTTAAATTGCTTTAGACTTTACACACTGAACATTGAGAGGAAAAAGTTAAAATCACAATACATCACATTGTAATTCCAATAAAATTCACAAAATCATGTTTTGGTGATTGGTTTTTAAGCATGTCATCTCTAGGGCAGCTGTGTAAACAATATTAATGTATAGACTGTAGCTGTGAAGTGTAACCGTCGGGGTAAGAGGAAGGAAGCAAGTGCCATATTATATCAGTGTGATGTGATTGTATTAGGAAGGTATGACTGTTTCTATTCTGTGTTCTTTACAGACTTTTCTGGAAGTGTCTGTTTAATAAAGTCTTTGAGATCACTGAGAAGCTCATGAGTGATTTTTACACGTACAGTACATCAGTGTGGCCTTCTTCACATGTCTGACACAATTCATGCTTTCTCCTATCTCAGCTATTGTAAATACAGCAGCATCAGGTTGAATAATAAACATCTGAAATGTATTTTATTTAAAAAAATATGTTGGTCGTAATTGACAAATTCCTTATTACCATTAACAACAAATATGTTCAATATACACACTGTCTCACTCCTCAATGTATATATACAGTACATAGAGACACAGTCGTGTGAAGGCGTGTATCAGTGGAGCTTACGGAATAATTCCAGTAGTGTCTTCAATATGTAAACGTTGTCTTAGCCTCTCAGCAACAGGCAAAAAGAGCAGCTCCCAGCATGCTTCCTGAACCGGTCTGACTCCATCATCAGAAGGCCATTGCAAAGCTCCTCTGTCTGCGCAAAACAGAAGACAAAACATTTCATTTGTGACCCAAATGACGTACTATACACCTACCATCGAGTGTATGAATTTAAAAATTTTGTTTTTCATCTATCATATATATATATATACACACACATACAGTATATATTATAGTATTTTCTATATATAAATAATATGCTTTGTATTGCTTTATGCAATTTTTGCTTTATATACTATGATATAAATTATATATATATATATTCCAGTTCTAGTGATTGTGTTTATATGCACCTGTGTAGAGCTGTAAGATCTCAAGCAGCTTTTGAGAGTGTTGCAGCTCTCCATCTAAAGAGCAGTTCCACAGAGTCTGACACACCACAGCGGCCAGATGCCAGTCCTGAGGCCCAAAATCACGCAGACAGTCAATAAGCCTGCAGTAGGGAGAGTCAGAGAAAGCACCGTACTTAAACACTATACAGTACAGTCAAAAGAAGAAAGCACACTGAAGAGAGAGGCAAGTTACTTCTGAATGGTTCCCTCGACCCTCAGTGCGGCCCTGTTGTCTGGGTCTGCAGATAAGTTGATGAGAACTCCACATGCAGAGAAACACACATCAGGGGTCTTGGAGTCCAGAAGGGTTACCACAAACTGTTCCACTGACACATAAAAACATGAGTACAACGTCAGCCTCTGGGGGATTTGAGACAGACAAACTAGCAGAGAGAACGTCTCAAACCTTTGTGCTGCATGATGAAGTGTCTCACGTCTCTGATCTGCGACAGATTTCCAAAAACACGTGTGGCCTCCAAAACAGCATCCATACTGGAGCTCAGCAAGAGCTTTAGCAGCACTGCAATGACAGAAGGACAGACAGGAGGGGGAAATCACTGAAGGACAAAGACAGATGCAACATTCAGGCTGTCTTCACACACACACACTCATCTTACACTGTGAGATGTGTGTGTGCTGGGAACGGACCACTGAGCTTTCGCCCTGGTAGTAAGACAGGTTGTTGATGGTGGCCACAGCATTAATCACTAACTCTTCACTCTTCTTCACACACCTGCACCCTGAGAGACAAGAGCAAAGGAAACAGAAAACTTGATCAGTTACATGCCATCTATTTAGAATGGCATATATATAACAGAATAGAGATGCACCATTATGATTATGAATAATTTTGTTCATTTCCTTCCTTTTTTATTACATTTGCCATCATCTAGGCTACTAAAGCTACTCTTTAAAAACACTAAGAATTTAATAACACTGTTAAATCTAGCAAATCTCAACCAAAACATTTTTTTTAATTTGAAATAAATTAAATGTCAACTGAAATAAAAACTTGCTTATTTTATTGCAGATAGTTGACAGGGCAGCATTTTTCAATTTTTTTTTATTTTAACTTGATGTAGGCTACTAAAATAACTAAAAGTAATCATTTAGACCTATGTAAACCTTTTTTTAAAAATAATAATAATAAAAACAATAATAATAAAAACAAAATACAAAATTACTAAAACATTACATAAAATTAAAACAAATATATATATATATATATATATTTTCATTTTTCATACTGCACATTAAAATGTGATGCATAAATTCACTTTGATTTTGGGGGGGGGTATTTTTTAATTTATTTAGACAAGATTGTTCGTCAAATCACTGTGCTTCTCTTAGTTTGTAGCCACCTATTCAGCAGGATACATCATTATGATAGTAGGTGGCGACAAATTACTGACTTTATGGCATTGAATCATGATCAGGAACAAAACAAGTGACTGTCTTTACGAATGAGTCATTGAATCATTCAACCGATTCGCTCAAAAACAAATGGCTTGGTGTTCCAGCGGTTTTTGCTGTGGCTTTGCTTTAACGTTATCTTAGTTGGGAGAACAAAAACAGACAGTAACGAAACCCTTTTACTTACATCCAGTAAATACTGTGCCAGTATTCATGTTCTGTAGCCTATGTGTGAAATTATTCACTTTTTGTTTTGACCAAAGGCATAAGACTATTTAAAAGTAGGTTCATTCCTTTATGAAAAATACTTTTACACATTTACCGGACTAGGCAAGATATAAAAGGCTATAGCAGCTGCCAGACGGTTCACTTCTTGGTATTGAAGATCATATCGCACAGAGTGCTAATCAGGTATCACTTCCCCCTCGAGAAGTTTCAAAACCATTCGTGTGAATTTCAGACTGAGTACTTCATGATAAATCCAAATTTGAGGTAGTCAGAATCTGACAAGCGCATATGACTGTAGTAAGATCCTGTATTTCTCGTTGAAAGTGCGGTTTGCTCTGTCAGTGTTTGTGCGTCACGCTGCAAAGCCTGAGTTTAGTTTCGAAACACCTTTTGTTGTGGCTAATGCTCTGTCATTGTCACCCTTGATTTCTCAGTTTCTTTTTCCTTCTCGATTTTTATTTTCATCATAACAGGATGTCATTTTAATGTAGCAGACATAAGGTAGATAAGCGAGGAAGAAGACATCTCCCACCCATTTCCTCTCTAACTGTCCACATCTCTGTTCTAAAAAACGACGGCATCCTCTAACCGTCATTTCTGTAGGAATCTAGCAGAAAGGTTTCATTTTATTTTCTCACATTCTAAAAACGATATAGGACAAATATTTCCACAGGACAAAAATCTCCTTCTCTATTTCAAAAAGGAAACACATAACCACCTTTTCACCCTAGCATGCCTGCTTCTGAAACTTCCTCATGCAGAACCAAAAAGGAGCTTGCATCCATCACCATGAAACCACACTGCAACTCTGAAAACACCAGGCCGCTCAAATAAAGAGCTGTGCATAAGAAAAACAAACAGTTTACAGTGTGGCTGTTCTCGTCATTGGAGAGGATGCAGTAACTTGAGGGTCTGTGCCAGTAACTGACATGGAGAGAACATCATGTGATTTGCACAGTGCAGAGCAACCAACTTGCACATTCATTCAAGTTCAAGGAACTAAACTTAGTCTGAAACATGTGTGTTGCCGTGTTTAAAGTTACATCGCTTCTGATAAGCATTGGTCACACGTAAAATGCTTTGAGAGTGACAACAGCATTGAAATGCATGAGTGAATACACTACAGTATCTATAAAGTACGTTCCGTGTGGGATTTTCGTAAAAATGACTTTTGTTGAATAGTAGTAGAATGTAGAACTGAACTAAAAAAAAAGATTGGGTGTGTATGAGACATGATTATGTTTTTTTACCCAGTAGTTCCAGTAGCAGCTGCACACACAGTGTGTTGGCAGCTAGTGCCGTGCCCACGGTGGGATGGATGGCCAGGTTGGCCAGCAGTCTGATCAGTTTGACCAGGATGTCCTCTTTCTCAGGGGCATGACATTGCTCATATGACGATAGTGTTTCCTGGTAGGCCTGGAAAAGATCTAAGAGGACATCTATCCCTCCTTCCTCTTCATAAACTCTCTCTCTGGCTTCAATGCTCTTGGATGTCAGATTTCCTAGCGTGAACAGGAGACGCACTACTAGAGCCTGCACATAAGAAAAGAGGACAAGTGTGTTTAGTAGGTAGTTGTAAGTTAAAGTGTTAACACATGTAATAAATTACATTTAATATATATATATATATATATATATATATACTGTATACTGTAATGCAGTATGTACATGCCTTCCAGGTCACCGTAATTTTCACAAGTAAGACATGTTCCTGGATCAACATATTTTGTTGATCCTGGAACAACATTCCTGTCTGAAAATGTAATCCTAACCCTTTCCCTACCCCTAAACCTAACCCTGCCCATAAGTTATCCCTAAATTTAAAGGGACATGATAGGTTGATTGTAAGCCTAAAATTGACATAAACTGTAAACTTGTCCCTCAAATCTGATTGGTTGATTGGAATGTTGTTCCAGGATCAACAAAATATGTTGATCCAGGAACAGGTTGTGTTTGGCGAAATCATGTTCACCGTTGGCAGTGCCTGTACACAACCATCATACAATGATACAAATCTATCCAGTGTTTTTGTTTTAATCTCCTTATATGTTTTCCCCTGCCTCAAATCAAGCCGTTTGACCGTGTGACGTCACACGCTCGGAAGCCCCTCCCACGATTGTTGATTGACAGCAGCATATCAACACAGACCCGCCCTCGCTCGTGAGCTAGCTGTCAATCATATTCTGCGCGGACCGGCGCGCTCATTGTTGATATGCTGGAGCACTGTCTATGAGCAGAATGGCGTCCAAGCGATTGTGGTGTTCTGTTCTTGGGTGCAATAACGAACACAGCAGTCATTTTAATGTTCCTAAATCCGAACCGCTGAAGACGCAGTGGCTGAGTTTGTTTTCGAAGGCAATATTCCCCACGAGCAACGTCAATGCTCTCATGTTTGCGCGAATCATTTCTCACCAGTCTGCTTTATAAACGAGGGTCAGTATAAAGCTGGTTTTGCTAAGAAGCTGCTCATGAAAAAAGGATCGGTACCAGATATTCGTGTTCCTGCTGAACCTCCAGAAGAACTGAAGTGAGTGTAACGTTTTATTAAACTTTATATTAATATTTATATTAATCTTCGCAAATCGCTAGCTGCACTCCACGCTCCACAATGAATGCGTCTAAGGTTTACACTCAGGGTACATTACGGCATGTTTTCTATGTACGACGTTCTCAATATAAGTCATAATCCCACGTTTATGAACAACGCGTTATGGTTATTGTGTTATTGTGTTACAACGGAGTACGCACAGAACAGAGGGGTGGAGTCAGCGAAGCTCATTATCATTTAAAGTCATATACACTGAAACGGCGTGCTGAAAAACAGAGCTGTTTTTGACCAGGTAAAATAAGTGTTTTCTTACAATACTAATGAGAATTTTTAATTAAAGTATATTACAAACTTTTAATTTAGACCCTAAAGAATCATATTAGCTTGTACAAAAATGGCATTATATGACCCCTTTAAGCAGTTTCATAAATAAGTAATTTTGTTTTGTCATAAAGCACAAGTAAAGTTATATTCATTTACAAGTCGATAAACCTAATAATTAAACACAACATTATTATAGTAATTTTATTAATAGGTCTAACTATGAAAAACTTATAAGATTAATTTTCATTAAATACTTAAATAAATTGACAGGCCTAGTGTTTAGTGCTTTCATGGTTGATCCACTAAACCCACACAAATATTTCTTGCGAATCCAGCAGCCTTTGGTGAACTATTTTATCAGACATTTTAAACTGTTTTTTCTCTCCTTTCTGTTTTCATTTAGAAAATATGAAAAAAGTGGGGTGCAGAAAGAGACTTCTGCCAGTAGTCTAGTGGACAGTATGTCCCTATTTGAGAAACAGTATGTATGAGACTCTAGTTTATGATACCTAGCACACAGTGTGAACCGTGTTTATTCTTTATGAGATTAGGAGCACATGATCTCATTACTCTCAGTGCCAGAAGGAAAGAGAGAGAAGAACATCTGAACTATCTGTACCGAAATAAAACGAGCAGAAAAACACACACACACCTTCATAGACCATTGCTCAAGTTTCACTTGAGAGCAGAAAGGGGAACATGCAGCCTATATGCTTACATCTGTGTGCTTGTTTCAGTTTACGTCAAAGCGTGCGTGGACATATACTTGATCCAAACTCACCTGTTTCCTGCTGTGTTTGCCTAGAAGGTCCAAAAATAGGCTGCAGCAGTGTGGCGTCTCAGCTAGTGCATGACAGCATTCAGTGTAGGTGGACAGCTTGCTGGAGACAGAGCACACACAAACATATTCTCACACATCACATGGCACAACTTTATCAACACTAATCAGAAAACTCCAACTAAATCTAATTAGAACTTCTCTCACCTGGTGGATATTAAAAATGTATTCATATGGCAGTGCATTATAAAACACTAAACCAGTGGTTCTCAACCAGGGGACCGGGGCCCACTAGGGGCCTCAAGATGAACATTAAATGACTAAACTACGTAACTCAAAATCTAAGATACTACTAAAATCAAGATATTTATTATTTTAATTCAACTTTTTTTTGAAGAAGAAGAAGAACTAGGGTTCCCACAGTCTTGGAAAACCTAGATAAATACATAGTCTAATTTTAAAACTTTTGATTTCTAGACCTGGAAAAGTATTTTAAGTTAAATGAATCAAATTCATGGGCATGTGTATAATAAATATAGATTCAAGTTTTCTAGTTATGCCAAGCACTACCATATTTTATCAGGTAGATAAAATGATAATTTGACCAATGAGAGCCTTGGATTCAAAAAGGCTGAGAACCACAGCTCTAAACACTTACTTCGATCCTCACCTGAATATTCGGGCCACATTAATGCAGATGTCGAGGTCATTACGATGGTTCTCCAGAATCAAGCAAAGAGTAAAGAATGCCTTGTTGGACAGGAAGGAAGGCCGAGACTCAGACTGGTCAGCTATATTTCTCAAAGCTGCAGTGACCTAGAAAGGGTGAAGAGGTCAAGACTGTGTGCAACTGTATGTGTGTTTGGTAACTGAGTGTGAATAAAGTACTGTGCAGCAGGTGTGCGTGTGTGCTTATTATTGCCTAATGGGTAGAGATGCATATAAAAGAGGAAGCACTTATAATCAAGAAGAAATAACAGAAGGCCTTGAAAAGTGGCCTCGTAAATCTCTCCATCAAGAGCTTAGGACACTGATTAGGGTACATGGAGGGTGCCTGCTAGAGCTGCTTGGGCCATAGGGCTGTACTTTCATAAAAACCCTCATTTCCGTCTGCCAACATGCTAATGAGTGGCACGGCAATTGGCGCTGAACATCAAACCATGCGTGCCAAGTTCAGGAAGTTTGTTTGGGCAGAGTTAAATAATTCCCTGTGAAACGTACTTTGTGCTGGAGGAGTATAAAGTAAAATATGGACACGGGGAAGTGGAAAAAGGGCATCCTCCCAGACAAAAGCAAAAACAAAAGCAGAGGAAAAGCACATTAAAATCCGCCCTTTTTTCGACCCTATGTAACCCCACCCTTGTGAAGCGCTCACATTTTGTTCCGTTTCGCTCCCAGAGCAGAGTTCTGAGAAACGTCAGGGTGGGGTTTAAGCATGTTCTATTCCTCCTGTTTTAAAGTCTTAAAGACACAGATTTACCATGTTTGCAATGCAAACCTATTTGTGTATCTATGGTGATGTATGTGTGTTGCACAAAGCACTATTCCAGCACATAGGGGAAGCACACGTCCTCGGTCACTGTGGAAATGTACGATGGGATCGTGTTTTTGAGACAACAAAATACATTACAGAAAAGTCTCTCTGCATTTTTTAAAGGGATAGTTCACCTAAAAATTCAAATTCTGTCATTATTTACTCACCTTCATGTTATTTTAAAACTGTATGACTTTCTTTCCTCTGTGGAACATAAAAGAAGATATTTTGAGAAATGTCTCAGAGTTATTCTCTTGTGTTCCACAGATGAAAGAAAGCCATAAAGGTAATTTTTGGGTGAACTATCTCCTTTTTAGATGTCACATTTGATCCACCAAAATGTTTCAGTTCATTTGTGGGTTGCCAGTTTCCTTTGTTTTAGTGTATATGGGTATGTGTGTGATTGCGAACATGATTGGCATACTAAAAACAGGGTTAGAGATGACAATAAAATAACTTTGACACCTGCCCAAACAATGCAACCATCAAAGACCACCCACCTGTACCAGTATGTGTCCTGCGATGATACGCTGGCCTTCTCCCTCTGACCTCTGAGTAGTTAAATTAGCTGAAGTTGTAAATGGGCCATGCATCAGTCTCTTTGACAGCTGTAGCAGTGTGCCGATGAAGTCTTTAGCCAGCAGCAGACTGGAGATGGCACTGTTTCCTGAGAGGAGCTTCAGTGAGCCGACACAGTACAGCACGGCCTCACCTTTACTCCACACATCCTCACACTGTAGCTGACACAGAAGGGAGTCTGTGTGGAAACACATACACACAATGGGCTGAAGTTAGAGATAATGCCTGATTGAGCTTAGAGAGTCTAGGTGAATTATACAATAATCAGGTCTAACCTAGGATGGAGTCGGTGAGGAACATGACGTCGTTACTAGCATTCCGGCTGATTTTGAAGACGAGTTTGCAGATGTTCAGCAAGTTGTTTCCACTCACATTGAGCTTGTAATATAGAAAACAGTAAATTATTTCAAATTAAATCTGTAAATTATTTCAAATTTCAGATGTTTCAGACCTTGTAAAAGATTATGATGTTTAAGACAGCTGCACAGAACCAATATATATATATATATATATATATATATATATATATATATATATATTTTTTTTTTTATGTATTTGTCAGTTTCTCAGCTACACTCCATATATGTATTTGGCGAATGCTTTTATCTGAAGAAACTTACACTGCATTGAAGGCGTACATTTTTTTATGTGTGCTCAGTTGTCAGTTCGCTGAAAAGCGAACCAACAATGAAAAATGTGTTAAATTAAAAAAGAAAATTGTTAAATACAGTTTTAAAATATACATTCTTTTTGCATGTTTATTTTTTGTAATGTGCGAGAAGTATTAATGGTTTAAAGGAGTACCGTTTTTACCAGATTTAATTGTATTGAAACCAATTAGGGTAAATTTGACCCAGACCATAGTAATCATATCCAGATTTTTAACCAAATACAAGGTTTAAAGGTCATATTGTGTGTGTGTGTGTGTGTGTGTGTGTGTGTGTGTGTGTGTGTGTGTGTGTTTATATACTCACTGCCAGAATAAGTTTAGCTAATGTTAAGTTAAGTCGGTCCGATCCCACATCTATAAGTCTGAAGAGTGTTCTAAGGATGGCGGACCTCTTTTTACACTGCCTTCCCAGCATGTCTCTCTCCGCTAGGGCGTCATGGAGACCATTGCACGAGTTACACAGCTGTCCCACAATCTCATCTGACACGCCATCACCTATAAGGATTGGGTTTTTTTTTGTAAAGAAACAAAACCCCATCAGTACTCTGTATGTTCCAGTGCACAAAATATGTAACAGTGTCAAGGTCGCATTTCAAACTGAATGTCTCACACAGTATTAGTTGCAGCATTGTCACCCTTCAACGGTCCCTGTGAAGGACAGGGAAAGAGGAGTAGTCTGTGGGACACACAGACTCTTTCACTCAGCTGAACTGATGTGTACACAGAGTAGGCTTACTGACATTTCAGTGACCCACATGTCAACACCCACTGACAGAGTTAACATGGCCCTTTAGGGCATATCCCCCCTCCCCCTGTATGGTATGCATCATTAGTGTGTATATAATAGCTCTTTACTGTCATTCTGTATGTACTGGCTTTGAGCATGACAACATAATATGTCAAAGTTTTAAGTTAGATTAGACTTCAATAGTGACCAAATTCTCCTGAGCTCAATTGTAATCAATATTTTTTTCTATTCATCTTTGCATCCAGAATAATTATTCATTTCTACATGCTTTTTAACCATTCTGTGCACTGGCAATGCTTTATACTTGCTGGATCTAACTTGCCTTTAGGGGATAAGGCAGGGGCTGCGTTTTTCCAAAGCTATTTTTGCTAAAACAAATGTTGTTTCTCATATCTGTTTCCAAGATGGTTGGCATTCTCCCCAACGGCACCCTTCGATGATGCCATGGAGAATATGAATGGTATTTTATGCATGAACCGAGAGGCTCTTGGCACAATAAATATTTGATATTTATCTTTCAAATGAATTTTTATTGAATTTTCAAAGTGCTTAAATATTTACTGCTATTAGATTGCATTTCATGGTTCCTTTCTTCCACATGCTTTGACTTTAAAAGCTTATACCATGCCAAGCTCAACACAAGCTTTGTTTTTATTCCTCTGCATTCAGAAATTGTGTTTTCTTTCTCCCTGCAGTTTGCTTTCACTCTGGGACACATTCAAGTGCTGAACTGCAGCTCCTTAGTACGAACTTGCATAAGCACAATCCAAAAACCACAGAATTAGGATTATCTTTCTAAATTCAGTAATGGGGGGGGGAGCTGAAAATAAAAAGCAGAGCTGTTATGTTGTTGGAACTCCTGTATTATTTCTCTTTAAAATATTTTAAAATGTTCCTTAAATAAAGAAGACTGGTAGGAGTATACTGCAGAAAATCATTACATGAAATTTTGTTCTCATAAAGTTCTCATAAGATAATGAAAAGCCATCAGGTATCAATCTGAATGCTACATATGTTTTTGGAGCTATTAAAATGGCATTAAGGTTTTTCCTACCCTAAACTTTGCATTACACTTCAATTAAAAAGTAAAAAGCACTGCTAAGAAACTAGTCATTTTGAAATGACTAGTTCTGTGCAAACAAATGGTTGGTCTGATGATGTACAGCAAAACAGAATGTGGCCCTTTGCTCTTTAAGGTTATCAGATCATTACTTGAGTGTACATTCATAAGAGTCATTTTATCATCACCTGGGGCAAAGGACTCAAATTCTTGAAGGACAGGAAGGACCTTAGTGTTCCAAAACACAGATTCGTCCATGTTGTCATCACATGTGTCTCCATACCCAAGCCTGGCTTCTACAGCAGAAATACATGTGGGTTTTAGACAGACAGACAGATAAATATTTAAATAGACAGGTAGATGCACTTTATTGATCCTGGAAGGGAAATTCAGACAGTTCACCCCAGCAGTTCTTAAAGCATATGGATGTAATACAGAGTGTTCAACATAGCATGAAAAGGTCAGAGCTTCACACCCACATGCCTTTTCATTAGTGTCTGTTCTGTTCAAATGCTTCTGTGAGCATTTGCATTGTGGACGAGCTGCAGGAAGCAGTGGGTTGCAAAAAGAACAGATCAAACGATCAGCTAGCATCTGGATAAAGAACCTTGAGAAACTGCTGCAGCAAAAGTGGTTAAGGTTTCCAATCCGATCAGATGTTTGCGGCCACTGGCAAGATTGTGTCAGGAGCAAGATTTACAAGATTGTGAGAACTTCGCTTTGTTGATCACGTGTTTGACTGCCGGTTAGCGGTTTCAAGTGTATATATATACACAGTACAGAAATAGCAATATACCTGGTTTTGATTCTCTTTCAGTGGATACATCAGTTTGCGGGATCCTGCTAATCACAAACATACAGTGAACATAATGTACATGCAGACCAGACAAAAAGAATAAATGACATAATTGTGTTTGAAACAGTGGTTAGATGAACAACAAAGCCTTGATGGCGTTTGAAAACACCTGTGTGGATATAAATGCTAAATATGTACCAACATAAATACAAGTATGTTCAGTGGGTACTTTTTAAATACATAGCTTCCAGTAGAGTATTCTCATGGAATTCTCCTATTTTCCTTGCAGACACAAGAGGTCACTGTTGTGATATCCTGATGCAGAATTTTATTGCCCAATTTTTTGATTATGTCTTTTACTGTGAGCAGTGTCAAAACCAGTTACTGGTGAAAAATAGATAACGTTCAAAATGTGCTTGTGTAAATGTTCATTAAATCATGCGGGTATGTGAGGGCTACTGCAACACACAGGAAACCACATGTTCATGTGATCGTTTCAGAGTTAGTCATACACTGTCACAGTGAATTTTATCTCAGAAATCAAGATAACGTTAACACTGTTTTAGTCTGCGCTATCATTAATAGCGGATTAAACTCACACAAATGTCTCATGTACTTATACTGCCTAAAATTCACATACATATTTTTATAGTGATATATTGTAATCATTCATCTTTATCGTATGTGGCATGGGTATTTCCTAAGGATTTTTAATAAATGATGGTATGGCGAGGCATTTTTGAGGCATTGATCATGTTTGGGCTTTGGACTGTCTCGATAATGCCTCTTTGTTGATGGGATGCCTCGGCCGAGACGTGATCTCATCGTGTGAATCTCAAATGAGACTGTACTGGTGGTCAACAGACCAGTCAGCCTGCCAGCCACAAACGGCCTGCGTGATCTAATATCGCTCCATTAGCAACTATAACAAGGATATGGTAGAGAAAGAAGGAGAGAGAGGCTTGCTGCTTGATTTTAACTTACTATTAAAGTCCAGAGTGTCCGTAAATGCATCCAAATTGGATGCAATGCATTACGATTTTCATAAGTGGCCATTCTAGGCAATGTATTAATGAGAGAGCTTGGATCTGAATGAGTGAACCTTTTAACGTGGTCTTTCTGATAGATTACACAATTCTGTTGCATGTAATGGAAGACGTACACAAAAGAGGATATCAAACTCAGGTTATAAAAACATTGGTAATGAAAGGATTAATGCCGCTGGGATCTACTGATCAAACAAGTTCACTCTCTGAACAGGGTGTCCTGTGAGTCAATAACACATAAAAATGGTTTATTGCCGTTATTAGGCACAGAGGATAAATCGATTTACTGAGTGAGTTTGATGGTGTATTGACAGTAGAGGTTTTTGTTATGAAGCCCAAAGCTGATTTCAAACCTCTGAATGTGCAGCAAAAAGAGTACATTAAATTGATATGTAACCTTCAAGTAAATAAACTCTTATGCTCAAAAAGCATACCTGTGTTTGATAAGTGTGTGCAGGTCAGTTTCGGAGGACGATTTTGTTTTATGCTCTGTAACATCAGCATAATGTAGCTTTTCTCTGTCATCTGGTTGGTCTACTTCGATCCTTGCCTCTAGAGACATATCTGAACAGGCACACAATAATACAACTTTTAACAGTCAAAACAGTCAAAAACAGTCAACATTTTTTTAAATCTTACTGGTTACTCCCATACAGTTTGACAGGACAAACACACACATTTTGTTTTCTCAAAGCAAGCAAACTCAAGGCATACATGGCACGATGGCAGAGAAACATCCTGGGGATATTGTAAACTGATCTATATCAGATTTTTGGAAGAGTCTATTCATTTCGGTTTGGTGTGAAACACTTCAACAGCTAGCGGATTGTCACAATGAAGTTATAGAGGGCTATCAATATGCCTGACAGGCGAATAAGCACTATTACTGCATAGCACTTTATTTTTTGAAAGATGAAGTATCCCTGTGAAAAAAATAAAATAGAAATAAAGATTAATAAAACACTTTTATTTCTTTTCTTACTCTTTGTGTGTGATGTCATGAAGGGTAGTCGGTGGATGGATGCTGCTCTAAGCAGTCTGGCCCGAGAACCTCCTGATCCTATCCTGGTATTCCCTCGTTCAGCTGGGGGTTTGGGGAGAGTTGCTTCATTGTCACTGCCATACTCATCCAGGGACACAGACAGCCTGGGTTTCTAGGAATGACATAACTCTTCAATTATCTTTCCCTGTTTTAGTCAGACAAAGTTTTGAAAAGCCTCTTACATGTTCCAGTGGGCTGAGACGAGTTCCAGAGCCAGGCCTGGAGTCAGGAACTTCAAAATGGCGGCCATGAAGACTAGAAAAGAAATTTGTGAAGGCAATTAAAACCAGAATACCAGTTATGTGAATAAGCAAATGGTTAATATTATAATTAAAGTACTTCATAGAGTGCAACAGTCGGGATCATGGAAGTAAAAAAAAAACATTCATTTTCTCCATAGGAGAATTGGTTTTTAACAATAACTTATAAACTTAAAGACTTAATTTTTAAATAGCCTAAACGTGTTTAATAGCAAAATTCATGAAAAGCTACATTACCCATGATTCTGCAAAAAAGAGAGAAGCTTTTAATCAATAGTTTTATATTTATCAATCGCTTCATGGGATTGTAGTTCTTTCTCACATTAACTATTAACTTTTGTCTAATTTCCAAATACTTTTTTGCGTCAAATCAAAGTTTGTAATCTTGTGAGTGATTCACCTTGGTTCGGTTCATGGCTTAAAACTCTTAAATGAAGACTTCTTAAAAAATCCCAATGGGAAAAATAATTTCAGAAACAAGGCTGCTGAAAACGTAGGCGGGTACTGTTCCAAAAATCCAAATATATTATAATAAGCATTAAATACATGCAAAACAAGTGATAAACAAATAAGCTTATTATCTCTGAAGTTGTTTTACCTGAATGCCGATGGTGGTCGTCCATCATGCGCACGAGAAGAGGATTCTCCAAAGAGCTGCCGATGCTTCTCCTGAGGTGTGAAAGGTCGCTGTGTGGCAAGAGTTCTGAGAGAGCGACGAGCCTCTGACACTATCTCAGCACTTGTCTGTCTCCTGAGGCCAGGGCTCATGTGGACATGCTCACTTTTGTCCTGCTGGAGCTCCATCCCAGACATGCTTGATCCATAGGGTTGTGTACCAGTATCAAAAGCCTGAGACCTTGACCACTATTCTCTAACCAAATCTGGTTAGAAATACACATAACTATGATAAAAGGAAGAGGAGCATTTATATTTTAAATAAAATTAACTGCATCTTGGAAATATAAAGATTTAGCTGTCCCAGACATCTATAGCAGACTTTATTGCATATTTTTCTGACATTCTCATATTACCTCAGTCTTCACAGTGGTTTGCTGTCCTGTAAGACTAGTTTTCGATATTTAATATTTTTATTACTTTTATTTAACTGTAATTTTAAATGCACCCAGCAAACACATGTTCAACCGGAGTCATATCATTCAGTGCAAGACAAGAATGCGCGTCCACGCACCGTCACCATGGAAACACACAACGCTGCTTCAGTAGCTCGGGTGTAGCAAAACAAAACATTTAAAACATATAACGTAAAAAAGAAACTAAAGAATAAAAAACTCCATTCGATATCTTAAATTCAGGTGACCAACAAAACAACAATAATAATCTACGACACTATTAGTATCAAGCGTTGCTTGCAGCCGACTTAATCGGAAAACTTGCTCTTTTAGGCAGTGCGTGATGTAAACAGCACAACAACAACAACAAAAAATATCACCCTTTACCTTGATTTCCAAACGAGCTTGGGTTTCACGGTTTTAAATACATCATCTATAATCTGGAAAGATGAGCGTGTCTAGCACATAGACTGTAAAAAAAAATAGGTCTGACAGCAGAAAGAGGGACGCACTTGTCAATCACGGCCACGCGCATGGTCATGTGACACACGGAGGCTTTTGTTGTGTGAAACCTACTGCCTTTTTTTCCTTGCCATCTTTTCTTAATTTTTAAGAGTTAGAACAAAGTAATAATGATTCATTACCAATAATTACATAGAGAGTTGATTACCTTATACAGGTACGTGTTTTAAATCTCGTGAGCCTCAGCCATAACCATTTCCAACGGAAAAAAGGTGAGGCAATTTTTCAATTCAAGACCATTCAGAAACTTTGACCAAACGAAGTACATTTGTTTTTGTTTAGAATTAAACTAAATTAAGGCTTCATTCATATTCCTCCCCAAAATTCATATGGCTGGTGTTCAATTCAAAATCCTAAAATTCAGGTCCACAGAGACACGAGGCGACACCATAGACTGCGACACGTAAGTTAACCACCCACGAGAGATAACAAGTGAGCTGATACTTACCCACCCAGAATGACACATAAAAGAGGAATTTAAAGCTACTAATTTTAGCCTTGTTCTAATGAGGACAGTATTTTCCACTCAGAAATATCTCAGGTTTCTTGAAGTAGTAGGTAACTTTAAAGGGATAGTTCACCCAAAAATGAAATTGCTGTCATCATTTACTCACCCTCATGTTGTTCCAAACCTGTATGAGTTTCTTTTCTTCTGTTGAACACAAAAGAAGATATTTTGAAGAATGTCGGTAACCAGACAAAATCTCTTCTTTTGTGTTGGAACAGCTTGAGGGTGAGTAAATGATGACCATTTACATTTTTTTGGGTAAACTTATCCCTTCAATAGAGTAAAAACACATTATGCAAATAGTGGATCATGTGTTTGTCTTTTGTAAATGAGACATCTGTTTTGTCTGTTGTGGTTTTAACAGTCATTTCCCACAGACATTAAGTCTTCTGAGAATCTGTCCACCCATTGGCTGAATTGTATATTAGAGACGTCAAACATCCTAACTGACTTGCTGTTGACTGCCTATTAATAATATTAGTAAGCAAATTCACATACATGAAGGAATAAGGACATTTTCTTCATGCAGTGTTGAAATTATCCTCTCACATTGTTTAGTGGGTTATTTCAAAACTACTCTGCAAGCAAGACTGACATGGTTTGTCTAACACACTATCCATACAAACCTCTTTCTCTGTTCCTCATGAAGTAAAATGCACACATGAGCTGTCTTTTGGCTAGGTTAGATTTAAATAACTCTACAAGCTTCATTCTCATGGATACAAGAAGCCTCATTGGTGTAATGTGATTGGAGGGGCTAGCCAATAAGGAGTTAGTACAAGAGTGCTCATTGGCCAATGGCTGCATAGATATGGTTGCCCTCTTTCATTGTCACTAGGGGAGTGTGGTGCCAAGGATGGCAATTTTGATAACAGTATGTAAAGTGCACTGCATTTTTTCTGCCTGTCAGATTTTTGATAAGGCTTGCATGAGGTGCACACATCTGTAGAGGACTGCATGAGTGGTGTGAATTTAATTATCTTGTGAACCTTGACACATAGGCACACACACACCACCGATGCTGGTTGCTCTTCTTCTACGTCACTGAGGCAAATTGGTTTGCTTTAAGGACCATCATTTTTCTGGCTGCTGTCTCCTTGGCAACCAGTTCCTTATGGGCAGTCTTTGGACACACATTGACTCCCTCACCTGGTGAAAAGGAGAACGCAGTGATGGCTCACGAATCTATGATGAGGAGGTTAAGCAATGTGTTTGCTTAGACTTTACACAAAGTAAAAACTGTCAAACACTTTGAGCTTGTGTCAACATGTGGTCGAGAAGCACTACAGTTTTTGTTTTGACCAAGCACAAAGAGATTTCAACATTTGCTTTTGTGCAGACTTAATAGGAAACTATGCTATGTTTAATTGAGGATACCATGAAGTCTCCATGAAATCAAATTTGACAAGTCTTATTTTTTTTATGGAATTTTGCAGTGTTTATTATCAGTTATTTATTCGTTTCACTTTGATATATGTCCAATAGGGAAGAAAGGGAGTTGAAAAAAGAATAAAATAAGAAAATTATGGTCCTTTTTAATTAAGGTCCACTTTTAGGCCTGTCTGGCTGTATATCATATGCTTCTTAGCATATTTATCTGTGTTTGATCCTTGAAAGTACTAGGATAGAGGAACAAACGTGGCTGGAAATGTCACTGACCAAGCTGGGGACTGTTCAGATTGTCATGCCTCAGTGGTACAAGTAACCTAATCCCAGAATACATTGCTGTCATTGTCTCTTCCCAACACATACTCAATCACTTGTTCTACCTCGCTTGACACAAATAAAAATACCTGTGTGTCATACCAGACAAGTTTTAGTCCGCTCAGCATTAAAACACATGGCTAAGCATCATGTACACTAACCCAGGATAGATTGTCAGGGTAAAAATGACATTGCTGTTGGAGCCATAACCTCGTGGGCAGCTGCTCTGACCAATGGTGGAATGGATATTGTGTGTATATATAATATTTTTATGTATAAACCTCTGTAGTATTTTGGAATTAACATGAACATAAATATAGGCGAGTTCTGTGTTGTGAAACAATTGTTATACTTTCCATGCAATATTCTAATTTGCTGAGAGAAAAAATTGTGAGAACAAGCAGCTGACATTGCCATTTTCTTTTCTAACAGAGTGGCTTTGATTATGACGCAGTGACGACAGACTGCTGATTGACTTATCTGCTGTCCAGAAAAGCCACACACTCTCTCACTTTGCTCTGTGAGCTCTGAGTGGGGTGCTATACATTTCAAACAACTATAGTAATGAATCCAGTTCCGGTTGCACAAGATACAATGCAGAGCACGCTAAGCTAAGGTAGGTGAAGGGTGATGGGATGTAATTTGAGGTTGAATGTAGTGATGACAGCAGTGACATAAATTAACTTTTCTATTAAGGGGTTATATTTACACTTAAACTGATTTCCAAGGGCATTTTTACCTCTTTTTCCAACCTTATTAAATGTATGATTTTTTTTTGTTAAATTCAGTTACAATAATAAATATAGGGCTGTTACCAATCAAATGAAATCAGTATCAACAAAATCCATCTTTGCACTGCAGAGTTGGCACAGAATCTGCATCTGAAATGGCATTTAGATGTTTTTACACTGCTGCACATAGCTGGAATGAATGCATTTGAACTGTGATTTCAGTTGCATAAATAATACAATGAGATGTTTAAATAAAATTTTGAATATAGAAAAGTTAAATGATGGCGGGAAATACATAATTTGTTTGAATATGAAACTAAAACTGCCTATAGGTGGCGGCAAGTCACTGTATTAATGAGTGAGTCGTTGAGTCATTTAACTGTTTTGTTCAAAACGGCTCATTCATTTTGACCAAAGCAAGTGACTGCTTTTATGAATGTGTCATTGAATCATTTACTCAACTGATTTATTCAAAAATGCAGATTCTTTCAGTATTGTAACACTTGTGTGTATTGCTCAGAGTTGTTAAGGATACAGCATTGATGTATCTTTTTTTTTTGTGGAAATATTTTTTGTTGCAAAGAAGACCAAAAACAGAAGTATCACATTTACAATTGTGCTGATATTGAGGAAAAACAGCACTTTTGGGTTTAAAAATGTATACAGGGTAATTTTTGCCCCAATATCTTGAATTTTGGTGACATGTTTACCCCAAATGCCCATTCATTTCCAACCCTGGATGGTAGTATCCTCAGCTGTGACTTTTGTCAGTGCAACATACCTCTGACACCCTTCTAAGGAAGTGCAGGACAATATTGTCACACCCTGAGCCAAAAAAGTCCCATTTTATCAACCCAGCTACACCTATGTGCACATAATGTAAAGGTATAATCAGACTAATACACACTAATAATGCTGTTAGATAATTGGATGAGATGTTCCAGTAATGGAATGTTGGCACAGCTAACACTCATTAGAGCTTAATTATTGCAATCATAATGGCAGGTGATATGATGTAGTGCTGTCACCTGACACGCATTTACAGTATGTGGATGAAGTACTGTACATGTAGTCAGCCAACACTGATAGTATGGTACAGGACTTCCTTTTAATTATTATTTTCTGAGGTTTATTTGAGGATTTCATTGGATGTGAACACAATGGGATTCTTTGTCTTTGTTTATTGTGTTTGTGGGGTGCTACACTACTGTTTGATTTCCCCCTTTCCCCTGACCCAAGATTTATGTAGGTACAGCCCTATTTCCCCCTTCACTGCTGATTAGAAGGTTCCCTAAGGACTGTCATAAATGTGCTCTATCTATTTCTCTCTCTAGCCTTCTTTCTTATCCCCCCATCTACAGTACATTACTCTGTGATTTTATTCCCATGCTCATGTCCGTGGGTCTGTATGCTCTATAATGAATAGAATCTATAGCTCTCATCTGGC